GGAAGGAGAATCTAGCAGTATTTCCTGTGTATTCTTGCAATTAACCCTGTTTCTTTAGCAGAGCCTTGTCCCACTAAGTGCTGTGGGAAGAGCACACAACAGTTACCTTACACACAAGGAGAGCTGGGCAGACAGCACTCTTATGTATAATTTCTTCATGCCTGGAGCCATATCCTGGACAATGGAGCAACTGATCCAGGGCTTTTTTTCTCCTCCATCTAATTTTGAGGCATCAAAAAAAAAAATTATTATCCCAAATTAAAGACGACTGAGAAGGCGAGGCAGCCTATGAGGGTGAGAAGTCCTTTGTTACCGATTTCTTGATTCTTTCAGCTACTTTAAAATGTTCTATCCCACCAGTCCATCCATTCCTTGACTGAGAGATCTGGGAAAATAAGGTGTAGCTGTTCCAGTTTCTTGGGTAGATCTTAGATTGAGTTGCCGATGACAGTTGTCATGGATATTATTGTCCTTCAAGGCTCCAGTGCTTTTCAATATTTACCTGAAGCCATGAGGAGATTTGGAGTTGAAGGGGGCTATCAATATGCTGATGAGACAGAAATTATTTATTTTATTATTCAGGCAAATATTGAAAATGTATGTATCAACACCTAAGTTTCCTCAAACCAATTCAGATCTGGGCAAAAAAAAGGGTGCCAAAATCTCAGCAGCCCTGTCTCTCCTTATGACATCTTACTTGATAAGAGATCTGGGTTATCACACTTATAAATGGCTGCTTTCAGCTCCATGACCAGATCTGACTACACGTATCTGAGATGGTTATTATGCCTCCTGAAGCCTATCTAGCCTTGAAATAGTTTTAAAACTAGATTATGCAATCTGGCAACTTTGCAGCAGCATTCTTCTGCTCATCTGCCAGTATATGCAGCGCTGGGTGGCAATTTGGCTGGCTGCTGTGTAAATTGGCCCTACAGACCATTCTTTCTCCTCTGCTTCCAACATCTTCTGTGACCTCTCTCAGGACATGCATGTAGGCGATCAAGATCTTCTTCAGCTTCCAAGTGAAGCTATGGATGGGGAGCTGCCATGGATTATTCATCTGCACTGCTTCTTTCTTTTCCACTGTTGACTCACAAAGAGTTGCTTGCTTTGGGTTCAGTTAGTATTTCCATTCTCTCATTCATTCTCTCATTATGTACGTTTAACTCATAATTCCACAGGCTGGATTCAGACAACTTTCACAT